GGAAAGAGGCGGCCCCACCTCCAGTCCCAATTCACCAGCTAGTCTTTAGGGTGCCACCAAAATCATGCTGCAACAGACTCACTCGGCTCCCTTGCCTCTGGGATCCGCCACCAATTCATCAGTTTCTCTTTTTTTACGCACAAAAAACTATTACAATGACAATTAATTAGTTTCATTGCTGAGATGCTTTGGCCATTTCCCCAGAAGCAGAAAACACCTGGCCAAACGAATACTCAGCTAGCAGCATCCCTCTGTCCCCCCCCCCCCCCAGATGTAAAATTTTCGACAACTAGCATATTAAAAATATAGTGTATCCAAACAGAATATCCATCCACATGGAAAAACAAAAGTGAAACCTTTTTCTTTTCTTGTGACAATCGCACCTGCTAAAGGAAGAAATGCATCTTGTTCTTGCATTGGAGAGTTCAGTTTGTAACCTAGGACTTGCTTGTCCTCAGTGCACAGAGACTAGATCAGTCTGATACCATATATATATATATATTTTAGAAATGATTTGGAAAATATTTGAACACCTTGTCTTAAAATATTTTATTCATCATGTTAAAATAAAACGTTCCATAATCAATTTTTTAATTTTCTTTTCTTCTTTTCAATTTTAACAATTTTTCGGAAGAAAACAAAAAGGCTTCAGGAAAAAAAACGGGAAAAAACCGTTTCCCCCCCTAATTTTTCCCGGGCCTTCACATCTCTACCCCCCCCTTCCCGGCAGCCACATTTCAGATACCTTTGCTGGCCCAGGAACGGGGCGGAGCAGCAAGGGCCTTGACCGCTTCTTGCTGTGCTCCGCGGACTTCTCGTGTTCCATCCTGGGAATGCTGTTTCCATCACAGGGCCCATTTCCCATGAACTGAGGAAAAGAGAAGGATGCTAAGACATCATATGCCAAGAATGCCAAGTCCCTGCTGCAGGGCACGAAGGAGGGCAGGCAGGAGGGCTCAAGGCCAGACGGGGGCTGTGGCCACACTCCGGGGGCTCCAATGCACAGGGGCAGCTTTCTTCTAGTGCAAGGCAGGGCAAGTTCCACAAGGCAAACAAGATGCACATGAGTCACACGAGGGCTTTCTGGAATGTGCCAAAGGGAGTAATGATGGGGGGCTTGTGCATGCAAAGTCCACCAGTGGAGCCACCTGGACTTTGGGATTACGCCCATGAAAGTGCAGCCTGCGTCTCTCTGCTCAGGCTTGCATTAAACATGCCAGGCCTATTCCGTGCGGCTGCACACACTGGCAACCTCTGGAAACTCTGCCCCCATCCCACTCTCTCGCCAGAAACGTACCAAAGACCTCTTGGCTTCAGGAAGGAACTGTCCGAACTCAGAGAGCAGATCTTCCTGGCCCCGGAAGAGATTGGCTACTTCTGTGAACACCTCCTCTTCCGACATGCCTCGAAACGGCCGGCCTTTGGCGCTCAGCTGCTCCTTCTGCAAGTCGAGGGAGACGTCGTGCTAACGGTGTCAAGTCAGCAATGAAAACAAGGGCAAACCACCGGTGCCCATCACGAAAGTCAACCCTATACAGCCTTGCGCTGGGTCACTGTCTCTGATGCTGGAACTATTGGCTGGGTAGGGAGGCGTGGCCTGGCTCGGCTTCCCGGGCCCCCGGCTTCCCTATGGGGTGGAAGACAAACACAGCCCACCAGGGAGGACAAAAGGGGAATGGCTTCCAAAAAACCTGTCTGCCTGCCTCTGAAGCCCTCCCCTGCATGCCCCCACCTTCTGAAGCAAGAAGGTTGGCAACTGGAGGGACCTCAGCTCCAAAACCAGGTTTGCCTGGTGCATAACCCCTTTGGGCTTTTGGCTCCAGGGGAAGCACTTTTTATCTGACCAAAATATTATATTCTCTCTCTCTGCTTTCTAGCCTCTCTGTGTAACAATTCCGACAGCCGCTAAATCGTTTAATTTCACTGACCTGCTGCATGCTGGATTTTTTTAAAAGGTGATTTTACAGTTCTTGATATCATTGACAGAGTTTATCACTTTTGCTGGTTTCAACACACTGTGGTACACATCACATTTCTCGTAGGCCACTGTGAGAAGCAGAGCCTGAATACTTTAAACGAGCAAAGGTGAAGCTGGATGTCTTTGCCATTTAGCTAAGGCAGCAAATCAAGGCCTGCCCGGATATCCAACTGGCTCCCCGAAAATCTCCCCCGGTTCTTCCAGAAGAGGCCATGGGAAGAAGTCTAGATTGTGCGTGCGTGCGTGCGGAGGGGGAGCTGTTGCAAGAGGCAAAGTGAACATGGGGCATTTTCAGTTTTAAGGAGACAACAAATCTGTTCATGAAAAGGAAAGGGACACAATCTTCCTTTGTTGGGGGAGGTGGGGACCCTCCAAGCCAACACAAAGGAACACTGAAATTATTACCTGGGAAAACGCAAAGCATGAACACACGAACCACCTCGACCAACACATGGTTTCCGAACAGACAATTCCAGAACACTCCTTGGTCAGTGCGGCCATGCTCTCCTGGCTGCCTGCCCGAGGAGGGAAAGCTCCTCCAGGAAAAAGCTCTGGCTTACACCCCTGGATCCCAAGAGAGGCATTCACCTGGTACGTATGAAGGATTTCCAGGAAGGAGCGGTAGATTTCGGGGTGGTCAAGGAAGCGGGTCTTGATCTTGTTCACGTAGCTAATGGCGTTGTTGAACTCCACCGAATCCGACTCCAGCGGCATCTGAAGCTTGTCGTCCTTGCAGGGCAGCTGCTGCCGGAACTCCTCAGGGCAGTCGCCATGGTTGTGGGCCTTATCCTGGCAATAGTGGAGCAAGAAGGGACTCTGAACTGGCTCCAGAGAGACCTGGCAGGAACAGGAAGGGGGGGGGGGAATCAGAAAAGTCAGGGACACATTGGCTCCAGGGCACCCAGTGAGCCTAGAATTCAACCCC